GTTTCATCATGATCTATTGAAATGTTACCTCTACTTCAAAGCCTAATACCACTTTCTCCACAAAGCCTTTAAAAATAACCATCTACAATAACATAGTTCTTTACCTGTGCTATTTAATGGGATCCTCACAACAAACCTATCATTAGCTAATAATACGGTAATTGGTTAACAATAGCTTATTTTAAGAGACAAAAACCTAGTTTAGGGTCACACAGAAAAGTAAATATCTGAAGAAGGATTTGAATTCAGCACCCCATCTACTGAACCCCCCTAGAGACTTCTATATTACTTCTGTCCAAAATTAACTTTCCTTTAATAGACTACAAACTGCAGTTTGTATCTCTTTAAGATACCTAGCATGTGCAAGTTATATTAAAGATATCTGTACGTCCACCTTATTTTCTTTGAGAATAAGTTATACTCAAGGAAAATAGAAGTTTTATCCTCATTTCCTTGAATATAGGAGTGTAAATTCCTTCTGAGCAGGAACTATGTGGCTGTTTATCTTGGTCATTTGTGAGCTCCTATTAGGATACTCTGTACATAGTAGGTGCTTATTAAATATTTTAATTGAATGTCTAAAAACCCAAGATGTCCACTGGCAAGAACCCAGGATGTCATTCCTCCTGGTTTCAATAATCTCCTGTTGTCTCAGTTATCAGCTCTCAGGACCCACTCTCAGCCTTCCTGCAGCTTGCCATATTGATGAAGATTTGGCTTAGAGCTAGCCCCCTGGCAGCAGATCATGCTGCTTTTGTGAAGTCACATGTGGTCCTGAAGTTGCCAGGAAAAAGGATACCTTGATGAGCCAAAATGGAAATTTCAAAGGAGAAGAAAAGTGAAAGTGAGCTTGTTCACACTGTGAAGAGCTCCAGCAGATGATGGAGAGACACGATGTCCTGCCACACGATAGAAAATCATAGGATTTTAGAGCTGGAAGGACTTTGGAGAGCTTGAGGTCCAAACAGCTCATTTGGCATTTGAGGACACTGCAGCCCAGGGAGATTGAGTCACTTACCCAAGGTGACACAGCTACAAAGCAGCCAAGCAGAAAGTACAATCTAGGTCTCCTTATTTCCAATGAGATAGGCTTACCACTATTCCACACTGCCTCCTGCCTAGGCAGGGCATCAGTTTTGGTTTTAGTTATTAATTTCAGGTCTTAAACTAGCTCTTTGCTCAATAAGAAGAGCAGAGGTGATAGTGACTGTAAATAGATAGCTCAGAATATTTCTTAGGGGAAAGGGGAAGAGAATATATCATATAAACATGTATTGCAATTCCCTGCCCAAGACATAGAATTCTCTTGATTTTCTTATATGGCAGAGAAGATGCTTTTTAAGAGCAAGATTTTCTTTAGCAATCTCCAAATTGAGGCAAAGAAAATTGGGGAGGGGGGTCAGGAATGTCAGGGTCTGGTGGAGGTAAACTACGACCCTAAGGCTTCTCAGAAGCACTTGCAATTTCTAGTCATTCATGATCACTCCCCTCCACTTAGTGGAACCTTTTATTGACCATTTCTGGGTCCTTTCTTTCTCTTATTCCTCCTTCTTTTCCCCTTTTCTCAGATGCCAGTTTCATTTGACCTGCTAGCAAAACCCAGTCACCTCCTAATCCTTCTGGTGGCCCTCAGTGCCTTTGGTCTAGGAAGTCAGGGATACCTGAGCCTGGAACTTTCTTTTTTCTCCATAAATCCCTTCCCTCTTTGCCTCTTCTTGACCCTCAAAGTTGTATTTATAGCCAAACGCTGGGGATTGAGTGATCTGGGAGGCACTGGAATTTCAGCCCAGAACAATTAATGCCATTGTCTATGGACAATACTGTTCTTCTGGAGGGTTTACTGAGGGCATTTAAAGACTTTTCCTTTAAAAAATATCCCTTTGCAAAATTTAAGCACAAACTAAAGATATGAAAATGAAAGTCTGGGATTTTCAGTGGAATCTTCCTTGATTGCATAAAATACTTATTATCATTATTATCATCTATTAAGAACAGGATCATGGTTCGAAGTGCTGGGACTAATTCTAAATGGAATTACATCATTTTCCAGACCCAAGACACTGGAGCCAAAGGAATAGATAGTGACCAGATCGCACAAAGTCAGACCCTCATGATAGGACTGGTACTTTTACCTCTTCCAGGCATGTTCCAATTATAGTAATTAGTCCTTTTCACTTTTTTTTTTTAATGGTTAACCACTGGTTTCCTTTTTAGGTGGAATGTCAACGGGCTGGTAAAAACCTGATCTGTCTGGTGACAAAACTAGGGCTGGAATTTTTTTTTATTCCCACACAGATGAAGTCCTTTTGGCTCCATCCCTTGGTCTCCTCCTTGTTTGTTCCTAGCACTAATCCAATGATTCTTCTTTTTATTCTTTTCTCCATTGTTCCAATCCCTGCCCTTTGCATATCCTTGGAGTAAAGAGTGACTCCCACAGAACTTCCTATATTTTTTTGATTCCATGTCTGGGGGAAAGAAGCTTAATTATTTTCCTTGTTGCTCTTGGGTCTGTAGGTTTGGAAGATGAGGGAGGAACTCAGGGGAGACGGCTCTTCTATTCCACACGTACTTGTCTCCTGAAGGGTGCTGGGGATGGAATCAACTCTTCTCATTCATTGCCAAAGAGGCACCTGCTCCTTGGGCTATGGATGCTACAAAGTACCTACAGTCTCCAAAAAATGAATATTTAGATTCACACAGAGTGCAATGAAGAGGCATAGAGAGGATGTAAGCAGACTCTAACATATAACCAACCAGTCGTCCAGGTCTCCAGATAAGGAGGAATAAATAACAAAATATATACAAGAATAATGTTGTGTATATTATTTTTCCTTTATTACTCAATAATTAATTAGCATAGACTAGCAGAATCCTGATTGCATTCATCCTGATCACTTCTCTTGGCTACTGTTTTTGAAATGAGAAATTGACTGGATCTCAGAAAGTGTATGGAAGCACTAATGCATTGCTTATATGAGATAATGTATGTAAGGCACTTAGCAAACGTTCTAGCACATATGTGCTGTTATATGGCAGTTATTATTATTTCTATTATTATTGGTCAGCTACTTTCAAACATTTTCTTCTTTCTTGTGTTAATCTATTTAAGAGTTTTGTTTTTGTTTTTGTTTTAAGAAAAAAGGACTCCACTGGTAGCCTTGTTTTTGTTTTTATTATCAACAATCAAGTTAATGGTACACTCTTGGAAAACTATATGCACATGTAGAAATATTTCCCTTTTAAATAGAAGCATTCATTATAACCACATATAAATAAATCTGTAGCTCCTGAACATAACTTATGACAATTATGCTCACAAACATATTTCAACGGGGAGAAAAGAAATCAGACAAACATGCAACTGATAACAAAAATATATCCCATGGTCTCTCTAAAGCAAAGGAAGGGAACCCGTGAGAACTTTATTACTCCATAAAGACACGTCAAAGAGACTACAAGGAGGGAAAACATTATACGGTCAACTAGAGTAGACGATCTCGTACTGATATTAACACTATACAATTGAGTCACAGGAACACAGTTGTAGAAAGATACAGAAAAAGTTAAAGCATCGACATTCAACTAATATCTATATTTGTGCCTTTTAAAATAAAAATAAAAATCCCAACAGAGATGTAGGTCTAAACTGCATGAACAATGTAATAATAAATATACATCCCATCTACCATAGAGGATGTGAGTCCGGAGAGGGACATTCAAACAGGCTCTGCGACATTGCGCACTGTTCCCTGCACGGTTTATTTCTCTGCAGTCAGTTGCATGGACTGCAATAGAAAAAATAAAATAAAATCAGTGCTTTAAAAGTTCAGTAAAAGCTGGTGGAGGAGAAGAAAGAGGAGAAAAGGAGGAAGATTTGCGGGGAAAGGGAGAAAAAGAAGAGAGAGACTGCAGAATATGAAACACTCCCAGGGGAAAAATACTTTTGCAGATTTTACAGATGAAAAGGCCATTAAAAATCGTTTGTAGGGCAATCTTCGAGCACGGGAAGTCCGCGAAGATTCGGGGTTTGGTTCTACTCGTTTTGGGTTTCTGTTTGTGACTCGAGAAGTAGTGTGACGGAGATTACCGGAGACGCTGGGCACGGTGCAGCCAGGCAGGGTAGCGTGGCAAAGCGGGCCAGGTGCCAGACAACCTGAGACCTTTGCAAGTCTTTGCTTAGGGAGTCCTCGCTGCGGCTGATCTCTTCGGCGGGAGGACGTGGGGACTAGCAAAGGGGTTGCTGAAGTCAGCCAGATTCTCCTCCACAAAAAGCAGGGGCCCAGCGAGGGTCAGCTCGCGCTATCCCAAGGGCCAGAATTTAGGGTTTCCAAAGACCTATGCCCCAGGCCAGTTTGGACAGTAGCCCGCTCCTCCCCCGCCTACTTTCCATCTTATTTCTCCGTGATTCTCATCCCTTCCCTGACCCCCTCTTTTCTTTCCCGTTATTCTTTTCCAGTAGTTTGTGAGTTTGCTGTTTTTTCGTTGCGGCAGGTGGATTCTTTTTTTGTGTGTGTGGGCTTTTGTTGTTGTCGGCATCGTTTTGTTTGGTGTGAGTGTTTTTTGGGTTATTGTTTGTTTTTCAGTCACTCACTGAGTTGATTCCGGCCCCCGTCTCTCCCTGTAACCCGCTCCGGCCACACACATACACATCCATCCGCGCCCCAACAGACACACACAGACGCACAGATGCAGCCCCCTGAGAGTCCCCGCAGCGCCGCTCCTCTCCCTCCTCCGGCCCCTCCCCGCAAACCCCCAGCCCCCTGGCAGGTGCGGGACCAGGAAAGTTTTCTAGTTTTGTTTTTTGTCGGGGAAAGCGCGGGGAGGAGGGGGGGGGGGGAGAAGGGGGCGACGTCATGTTCTCATAATTCTTACCGTGATCATTTTTGGCTCGAGGTGAAAGAGCCGCGGCAGCAGCAAACACAATAGCCCTGGGCCCGCCCACTCGCCCGCCAGACCCCTTGCTCGCCCGCTAGTTTTCGCAGCTGCCGCTGGGTCCCAGATCAGAACATGCTGCTCTTTACTAAGGCGGCTTTGGCGCCGTTGGGTCTCTGGAGCGAGGACAGGACGCTGGCGAAGGGGCCCCCGAGAGAATCTGGGATCGAAGTGATGGGGCCGGGCCCCGGGGCCCAGCCTTGTCCAGGTCCCCCGGCCGCAGCCAGGCCCCCGGCAGCCGCCGCGGCCGCCGCTGCCGCCGCAGCCGCCGCTGCAGCCGCCGCCGCCGCCGCGCCCCCCTTGCCGGGTTCGCCACCCGGGCCTCCGGGCCCCGCCGCCCCTGGGGCCCCTGCGGGGCTGGGGCCTCCTCCGCCTCCGCCGCCGGCCCCGCAGCTCGGGGCGGGGTTAGGGTTCGGCCCCGGGCCCCCAGTGCTGTCCGGGTCTGTGCTCTTGGCGTCTTTGCTCTCGTCGTCCCGGGACGCATCCGATTTCTTGCCGGATGAACCGTTCTTGGCTGCGGCCGCTGCGGCCGCCGCTGCCCTCTCCTGCTTACGGAATTTGGCCCGGCGATTCTGGAACCACACCTGATAGGCAAGACAGTAAGGGAAGAAAGGAGATACAGAAAAATGAGAGAAAAGAAAACAGGTGGGAGGACAGAGGAGAAAGAGAGAAAAAGGAGGTGAGGGGGAATGGGATAGAATAGAGATAAGGAAGAGAAGGAATATAAAGAAAGATGACAGAGGGAGAAGAAAGGCAGGTTAGATTGATACCTCTCTTCCAACTAAATTCCGCTACTGCCAGTGTTAACATACTGGAAGTTTTGTTCCCCTCCTAGGACTCTTCGTTTCCTGGTTTCCTTCCTCAATCCTCCGATTTGCCCCTCCCCTTGTGAGGCCAGGGCGACTTGTTTGTTTGTTTTGGGGTGGGGGGGGGAGATAAGGACTAAAGGAGGATAACTGAAAATTCGGGGAAGTTGTCCATGTTGGGTTGCCCTTACTTAAGGGAGGCTGCACAGGACTTTTCCTTTTTCCGGGCCCCGTAGTCCCAAAGGTTAAAGACTAATCTCTGAAAAGAGCGGAATTGTGTCCCGGGTTGTACATCCTCCGTTCTTCCAAACAGAAAGAAGCACACGCTAGATGTAGGGGCAGTACGCAGAGGCTAGGAACCCCACTGGTATCCTACCAGAAGCAAAGAGAATACGGGCCACCACACAGCAGAAATCCCAAAACATGTGTAAGTTTCTGGAAAGGGAGAGCTCCCAGGCGTCCTTCTGTGACTGAGCCTGTGGTAGCAGGAATAAGGACCAAATAAGTCCTTGACTCGGGATCACTATCAGACCTTGGCTTTCTTTTCCTCCTGTTTGGAGGAAGTAATCCCTACTGGCACATCACCACTACCCATGGAAGTACATATACACGTGCAGACACTGAACCAGATAGTGGCACTTGTGGCTGTATAGAAATTCAAATGCATACACATGTACGTCACAGAGCTACGGATGTATCTCCTCACGTGTAGCTAGCTAACTTTGTAATGGAATGGAAATATATAGTTAGCTAAAGGAGAAGAGATAGATCTGATCTATGAGCACGTATGGTGGGCATTTGTGCGCACACAATTCAATTTAATTCAGCAAGCACTTACTAAAAGCGCCTTACAATGTGCAAGGCCTTGTGGCAGTTTTATTTCCCTCAAGTTATAAACTCAGTTCAATGACCAAAATGGAGGCATCTTTTCTATTTCTGATGGACTGACGATAAGACAATTGATGAGCCAGGCTGTGAATACCCCTAATTTCGGGGTGAGCTGGAGTCTGGCCCTAAGGCCGGTGGGGTACGTCCCACTCGGCGTTCACGTTTGGCGCCCACATACCTGCACTCGCGCTTCTGTAAGATCGATCTTGAGAGCGAGCTCTTCTCTAGTGTAGATGTCCGGGTAATGTGTCTCCGCAAAGACCCTTTCGAGTTCCTTGAGTTGCGCACTGGTGAACGTTGTGCGTATCCGCCGCTGCTTTCTCTTCTCATTGAGCCCGCCGTGATCCGTAAAGAGTTTGTAAGGAACTGGAGGAGAAGAATCGAGGAGAGAAAAAATAAAGCGGATGGTTCGGGAAATGGCCGCCTGGCCAGTCCTGGAAAGGGTCACCAGGCCGGTCCATCCCCAGACAAGAGATCTCGGATGTGGGGAATAGAACACGAGAAAGTGGAGAGGAGAATATTCCAGTGCTCTGGAGAAAAGCGTAGCCTGCTAGCTGTCCTGGGGAAGTGAGAGGGAGGGGTGGGCGCAAGAGAAAATCAGCGGATTAGTTTTACTCGAGGCTGAGTGAAAAAATCTCCTGGCGTGCCGAGTGCCTTTCCAGGGTAAATGCCTTTGGGTGAATGCAAAGTGGTCGCCCACTGGAACCCAGTTGCCTGAGAGGCAAACAGGAGAAGGCTGAGCAGAGGGCAAAAATGAGGGGGAAAGGCAGAAAGCACTGAAGGAAACAGCAGGCAGAATATCAGAGAGATAGCGAGGAGGAAACGAACACAAATGTTTCTCAGAACTTTTCAGCTCCAAGAAGTTGATCGTGTT